CCCCTCCCCCACCCCCCCCAATCGCGGCGTCCTTCATCCCCGCCACTCGCTTGTCGGCAAGGCACCAAAAGATTTAAAAAACACTTGGCGTTGGTCCCAACCCGCGCGTGTGCCCGGCACCTACCTTCTCCTTGAGGCGCTTCAACTCCAACGCTTCCCACCCCTCCCCCCTCCGGTCGTCGTCTTCCTCGCCTTCCTCTGCCCCTGTTCTGCCATCCACGTGCCCCTCCGGGTGTCCGGCTACGGCCACACCGAAGTAGTCGCCGTGCTCTTGCCGTATGAGCCTGACGAGATCTATCGCGTGCCGAAGGCCGCCCTCGGCAGCCTCCCAGTTTCCCAGCCCTGATGTCGTTGTTTTTGCGGTTGGGATTTTTTTTGGAGGGGGAGGGGTGTAGGCGGTGGTTAGGCCTTGAGTGTAGCAACCGCCGTGGCAACCAAACTGATGGCAAAAATTGGGCAAAGATATGAGGAGTTGGGCACTGGATCTCTCGAAATGGTAAACCCAGACATACCGACAGCCAAGCAGATATCGTAAAAAAAAAAATGTTAACGGAAAAAAGACAGCAAGTTCGCCACATCCCTGCCGCCAACCAGGTCTCCTTTGACGATGACTACCGCACGATCCCCCCGCCCCCTCAAGAACGGGCTTCTCGAAGGACCAGGAAGCCAGAATTGAATCAGCAAAAACTTGGGCCGGGAAGTGGCGGAGCTGGTTGCATCCCGACCAAATCACTCTCGCCCCTGCCCCACTCATCGACAACAACAAAAACGGCAGCCAATCATTTCCGGTCAGCGACAACAAAAACGGGTATAGCAGCCCCGCCATGAACAGCAACAGAGCAACGTTAGCGGCACCATCCATCCTGGTGTGTGGTCATTCTGCGCGGGCAACGGAACAGCCGTAGGTCTCGCCATCACCGACAAAACACAACAGCAGCAGGAGCAGCAGCAGCTACCTAGCGAGCAACATCGTCTCACGTCGAAGATCGGCACGTCTTACCCTTGGCGGGGTCCCCTCGGAGGGCAAGGATGTTCTGGATACCCGCCTCGCGCGCCTTATTGAGCGCCCCCTTGATCTCCTCCACCTTCCGGTCCGTAGTTTCCGTTTCAACGGTCGGTAGTCGGTGTGATCCGTGCCGTTTCGGTTGTCGGGCGGACGTTGCGGCAACGACCAACAACCCCCACCGAGAAAAAAAAAAAGAGGGAGACAAGCAGCAATCGTAGCCGGTAGCAGGGAGATGAGCACGGTATGAATGAGCCGACACGAAATGACGAACAGAGGTAGATACTATATACAGCAGCCGGGAGTGTTCACGGGCGTGAAGAGAGGAACGATGGACGCCCAGCGCGGGCTAGCGTAACGCCAAGCCAGGCGTACCGGCACCCCACCCGCGAGGCATCATGTTCCAACGGACGGATCGATCTATTCGAGCGAGGACGGACCTCTCAATAACGCACAGGGAGACAAGTTCGTGGTATTCGTGGGGCACTGCTGCGGATTGCCTCGGCCTATGATGATGGATTTTACGAATAACTCTCAAGCGTACCTCGGATCGAAACCATGCCCCGAAAAACAAAATGGCCACCAACAAACTGCTGTCTTGTTGAGGCAATTACCCACAGGGGAGATACATCGCTGTATGATGCTCGGGGAACAGCGGAACTAGGCCACACAATACCATGGTTGCATGACCAGTTGATCCTGGACTCGATGTCTGGATAACTGGTCTCTGATTTTTTGTTTTCTGCAATACGTGCACACCAAAAAAATACAGGGGGAGATATTTTTTCGCTTGATATGTAGCGGGGTGATCCGTCCGTCTCTCCGCCTACCCTACCCCAATTGGTCCTCGACTCGCTGCTGTCTGTGGACATGATATGCATTCGATATTTTTCTGCTATGCACGAAAAAAATAAAACCAGGAAGAAGACCGTACGTTGGTCCATGTGCTACGGGGTGATCTGTCCGTCTCTCCGGCTACCGTAGGTGATGTAAGATACCACACCCCCTGGACATACTTTCATTTTCAAACCTCGAGCTGTCCACGACGAAGAGGCCGCCGAGATTGAACGAGACGTCCCGGGAAACCTCTCGACGAGCCGGTGTGATTTTCGGCACCGCAACTGTGCCCGTCCTGTGAAGCAATCGAGCTTTGACATTCGGTGCAGGGGGTGTGGTATCTTCTGTCGCATACGGTTGCCTAGTCAACCCTACCTTGAGGTTGGTGCACGTGAGGTGCATGAGGACCTCCACGCCGAGGTACTTCTGGGCGTTCGCGCTGATGGCCAGGGTGAGGTCGCTGGTGCTGCCTCCAGCCCCCCAGGTCACGTCGACGAAGAGAGGCTCCAGCGTAGCCATCCTCTCCATCCGGGCAGACCTGGTACAACGTGACGTGACGCACGTATGCATAGGTAACGCGCAGAAGAGAAGGTCATCGCCCACTTGGAGTGTATTTGTGTACACGTGCGATCCGCCAGGGCGATGAAAATCGCCCGATGCACCGATCGGAAGCCGCGCACAGCAGAGACGACAACGAAGAGGGCTATACGAAGACGACGATGAAACACATACTCAAGAAAAAAGAGTGGTAGTTATATACACCCCAGTACAATTAGGTCGAGTATTAGCAGACGTTTGCGGCGGGTGAGGGCGTGGTATGTACTTTGTATTCCGTAGTCGGTGCCTCTTCGTTAGGATTTCCAAAAATAAAAAACTGCAGCAGAAAGGCATGCCGTCACATTAACGTCACTCGCATACGATAGAATTCGATACGCGATACGCACTGCACTACAACTCGCTGGGGGAAATGAGACACCATTACACCAATCAAACGGGCAAGCTAGGGAATCACACGTGTAAAAAGTTCCCGTATGCTTTTTGTCCGGGATCGGGGACGCATTGACAGAAGGACGAAAACTGACAAACGGCGGGTACGGTGCGTCGTTATCATCTCTTTAGTACTAAGGACATGTGGCATCATGGAGCCGTGTACATGTAGTCAGTACGTACTGCTGTAGGACGATAGGGCCCGCCCCCACGCGCCACGATAACTGCAAGCAGCCTAGCTCGACAACGCCCGCAGCATGACGATGATATTTGCGATATGCACGACTCATCTCCCGGTGGGAGGCTGGTCCTGGTCCAGCCAACCCCAGCCGGCAGAGGACCGGTCAGGCGAACGTTCTCATTGGCTACATCAATAGGCAGATGTGTGTCGTTTGTTTCTCAACTCACAGACGATACAAGCGCGCTCGAATAGATACGCTATGCGTCGGTTGAGTTACGATGTCCACTGCTGCTGTCATGTCGCTGGAGAATCTGATGTACAGTAGTTGTAGTAGGTACCTCCGGTTGACCTTGAGCGCAACCAGGCGGGACTGTCATTTCGGCAAAAAATCCGAAGGTGGCAAACACCAATTGCATGTGCCCATTGCTGCCTGTAGGATATGGATTGCTACAAGACGACAGAGGGTGCTGCTAGTTAACGACTTGAAACGTGCTTACACGGCACGCCAGCTTCTGCAAGGGGCAATCAAGAGACAGATAGAACGAGAGCGCTAGAGAGACTTCCCGGTCATTTGTCCGCTGGTTGTTACCCGAAAACATGCTTTTCTCACAGATTCTCCACGCCAGCAGAGGTCTTGGGCGGGAAAAACTCGAACGAATAGAAAGGCTCCTTGGCCTCCATTGCTTGCTGGATCTTATCGATTATCTTCATCTGTCCTTGTGTCCGTATGAAGGGCGCGTTGCGACCCTGGACGTAGCTAGAATACGCAGTACGCTGCCGTCGGCAGGCAGGGCCAGGGGTCCACGCGTAGTACACGCTCACTTGGTACGGGTATGGTAAGGCATATGGTGTTCAATCTGCGTAGTCTCTCTGGCGTGTTTGCACCGAGCACCGAGCCGCGCGGAACCAGGCAGGGAGAAAGAAAGTGCCCTGTTTTCTGCTCGTCGTTGCGCGTGTGAGGACTGCTGCTCTCTCCTGCGATCAGGCTGTCGCTTGCTGGACGAATCAGGTGAACTGCACAGCAGTTGAAGAGCAATGAGTTTGACTTTTTTTTTCTTCGTCGAGTAACAAGACATGTTGTACGATCTCTTTTGCCTCGTTCGCAACTGCTGCTGCTTGCTGTGAGTGTGTCGACTGAAACCAGATACTCCGCTCTTTCCTTGCTCTCCCTACATACCGTGTGCGCGTGTGGGGGAAGACCAGGCATAGAGATCTTGACAACGCGTGTGTTGTCGTCGGTTGTGGGCCATCGCCGTGAATCTCAGTCTACCCGGATGCTTCCTACACAACACTTCTAGGTATAAGGCCGCACTTGATAGACGACATAGCCAGTGTGCCTCCTTCTTTTTTTGCGAGATAGATCTGTCGCTGCAGAGCACCGGCGGATCCGAGCACTGACGTTCGGACCTCAACACACACAACTCGCGCTTCATGTGAAAACTAAAAAAAATACTACGTGTCTCAAATGTATTGTTGATATTGTTGTTGTTGTTGTTGTTGTTGTTGTTGTTGTTGTTGTTGTTTTCCCATTAAACCTGTTCCGATCTCCACTCAGTACCTTCCAATGTCCGTACTGGTCCAACTGACGCGGACGCCTTCCGTGGTCACAAGCCAACTGCCACTACACGCGAAAATCGTGAAAAATCAAGACTTGTTGAAGAGAAACAAGGAAATCATCCGTCGTGGCTTCTGTATGGAGGATACTAGTCTCATGTACATAGCGTGGTGGGACCGTAGATTCGATTTTATCTTTCAGGCTTCCTGACGGAAACACACACGGGTCCGTCGGAACAGGCTCGCTGCTGACCATCAGATTTTCACTTGTTTCCAACTAATTTCTCCTCTCCAGCGCGACACCATCCAGTGCGGGCAACAAAAATATTGCCTCTACATGTACAAAGTTTTACCGTGTGATGTGTTGACGCTCGCTCGGTCCAACACCCTCAATCTGTTGAACACATCAGGCATGTCGTTGGCACGTAGGACGTGGTCCGCGCGGGAGGTTCAAGTTTTCCCATGCCAATGCACCAGCATCGACGCCCGCTTTTTTCCCCGCTGCTGTGAACAATGGGAATCCATCTGTATGTTGTAGCTCACGAGAATAACCGCTGTATGTATTGTAGGCACGGTGGATGCACAATTACTGCTCGTCTTTTCAGGTATGCTACTGCGCCGGCTTGCTCTCTGATGTTTTGTGAAATTCAGCGTCACTGGCGTGCCGTACGACTTCACGTATCAGGTCATGCGAGCACACGATTGATTAGGCAGCTTTTGGGTATGTTTGTCCTAACGGGATGTGTCTATCCAGTACTACTATTTGTCAGAGACAGCTGACCTCACCCTGATGTTTTCGTGTTGTACAGGTTGGGGGGTACTGCTGTGCGTAGTGCGTGGTGAGAGCGGTTGGAGAGACGGACGGAAGCGTCTGGCGGCGGCGTGAGCGCGAAAGAACGGTCTGCGCCGGCAACAGAAGAGCACTGCGCCAGCAGCAGCAGTTGTAGCACTGCCACCCATCTAACAAATATACGGCAGTGGAGTCATGTCGAACCAAGGCGGCGGCGGTGCTCCCGCCCTCGGCCCCGAGCTGAACAAGGCGGAGGCCAGGCAGGCTAGCAATCTTCGGGTGACCACCAAGGCGATAGACGCCCTGCACGCCCGTGTTGCGAGGGCCAAGCGAGAGCTCGACAAGCACAACCAGAAACAGCTGGAAGCGGCGGGAGGAGGAGCGGGGGCGGCCTCAAGCGAGGGGTTGCGAGCGGGGGCTAATGAGTCTCCGACGAGATCGGCGTCAAAACCTGCCACCGCCAAGTCTCCGACAAGGTCCCCGTCCAAGGGCAAGGGCGCGGCTTGCAAGTCTCCGCCGAGATCGACGAAGGCGGTGGCGGCGGCGACAAGGGGGGGGGGTACAGGCGGACAACAAGGAGGGGCCCAGGCGATGGATTTAGAGGGCGAGGGGGGGGGTAGTGGTGTTCGTGTTGCGGGGATCCTGTCGGAGCTCGCGAGCGACGTAGCGGGATTGAAGACGCTGGACGCGGTGGGGTCAGAGCACAAGAACTTCCACGCGACGATCTCAAAGCTGGCCAAGGCGGCAGAGAAGGTGAAGTGGTAATGGCGATACCTAAGGCGCTCGCTGGTTTAGTGGCCGTCGTTTCAAGATTTGTTTACAATCTTGCTTGGGGTCGTCCTCGTTCCCCGTCCACGTGTGTGTCAACTCTCTGTCCCGCGGGTCTACCCATGTCGGTGGTTGATGACCAGCTTGTGTACAGACAGCTGCAGTGTTGCATGTTGTGGCATTTTGGGATAGCGGGTGCTCAAGGATCAAGAGTTTGAACGAACGATACTATTGGAGTCGTATGGTTCAAAGCCGGCGCTCGAGGTAACGCATGCGGTTCAACGTTAGTGTTGAGGAGACTTCACTGCAAAGTACCCCTCTTTTGCTTTGATTCTTCCTCCCCTGCCTCATACCCCCCCCCCCCCC